TGTTTGAATCTTTTCTAATAGGATTGTATATTTTAATTATTTTATTTTTGTTTTTCAAATAAAATAAAAATAAAAACAAAATGGTTAACATTATAAAAAATCACAGGGAATGGGGACCCCCATGGGGATGGGGATTTTCGCGGGGACGGGGACCCCATTGCCATTCCTAACACCAAGCTCTGCGATCTCACTGTGCACCAGAACTCCTGGATCCAACGGTTCGCAAGGACATGACGGTTTGTATTCCAACGTGAAATTAGTTTACTGCATTTTTGACATCCGCACAACCTAATGGATGCATGGTGTCCACGCGTGCCTGAAAGGCTACTGCGTGCTTGAATTAGACCAATCAAGCCAGCCCAATCTCGAGCCATTGGTCAAACCGTGGTCGAATATGGAACACAAACCAAATCACCTTGGGTTAATACTACTCCCTAATTGAGCTGATCATGCTGGACTTGGGAGTGAGGGCAATTGATGAGGGGTGGTTTGGTCCTCTATTGATATCATGACAAGTGGCATTGCAGTATAGTAGAGTGACACCTCGACACCACGTAAGAAAACCTCAAGATGTGTTGGGCGACCTTGACACCCCTTTGGTTGCCCGAACTTTGAACGGTCAAGCAAGACATCATGTCAGCGTAAGAGGCGACCTGCTTTCGTTGATCTTACTTGGCTTCGGTTAGCAACTTGCTTGATGTGTTGGGCGACCCCCCCCCCCTTGAGCGGGTTATCGTCTCCGACTTCCCCAGGATCATGAGGCCACGTCGGAAGARTTGGTTATCACCCTGCCTGCTTCGGGTGCGATTGAATAAACATTACCCGCTTACGTAAAGCCCAACTCTAGGCGTGAAACCACCTCCGAACTAGATGACCCAAAGATCCCCAAATGTGCTTCGTGAGGCTCACAACAGCTCGCCTATATAAAGGCCTCACCTTCACCTCACAAGGTACACACAATTTAACTCTCAAACACCCTAGTTCTCTTGCATTCTTGCAATCATACTTCTAGTTCGTTGGCTTAAGCATTAGAGTGCCCACCCCGAACAAAGCAACTCGGACACTTTGATCTCTCTCTTGCAAAATATTTACTTAAAATATTTTTTCCAATAGACTATAATTATATAATAATAATAATAATAATAACAACAACAACAACAACAATAATAATAWTATTATTATTATTATTATTAATTTATTTTAGTATTTAATATAAATTTTTGTTATATAGTAATAATATTAACTAAATTTGTAATTATTTAAATATTTACTTAAAATATTTTGTTTCCAACAGACTATAATAATAATAATAATAATAATAATACTATTATTATTATTATTAATTTATTTTAGTATTTAATTTAAATTTTTTGTTATATAGTAATAATATTAATTAAATTTGTAATTATTTAAATATTTACTTAAAATATTTTTTT